TCCTCCATTTTATTCATTTTCACAAACATATTTCCCATCATCTCTTTTAGACTTTCTTTCAAACTTTTCTCCTTGGTCTTGCTTGTCTCTTTTTCTGTTGTATTACTTATTTATACTGTTTCTTCTCCTTCCTATCTTTCTTCATCATTTACTTCTTTGCTTTTATCACTTTTCCTTGCAGATGTTGTTGGTGCCCCATTATGTTCATTTAATGTTGATATAAGGTTATGTTACTCGGTAATTATTAGTCATATTACCCCTAGCGTAGATTGTATGTTGTTGAAATCTTAAGGCTATTACACTACTAAAAATCCTACAAATATTGTAAAGTTGTTTAATACTTCACTTTTTAAACTGGAATTTGTTCTCTAATAGTTCTTGTGATTATTCTAATAACATTTTTAGCATTTTCAAAAATATTAGGTGTATTGGTAATTTGGATCCTTGCAGGTTTTAAATCAAAATAAGGTTGTTGCTAAGTTAGTTTACAATTGGTAAAAAAGTATGTATTTTCTTAAAAATTCAGACATTTAAATTTACCTGTCCTAAGTCTTTCGAAAACAGCAATACGTATTAAACATTCATTGTGAATATGGTAGGCACATAACAGGTCATATCTCACATACCTGTCAAAACATTAATTTACTATCTACAATTTAACAATAATTTTAAAATACAGCTCAAACAGATATACCTATTTAGACAAAATTATAAAATTTTGTGTTTTCATTTAATTTATTAAAACACATTAGTTTTTAGTAAACATGGACTTAGTTGTAAAGGTAGGACAACAGTCAAAGCAAAGCTTGTAAAATAATTTTACATCATCATCATCATCATCATCAACAACACAATGATGACGTCTGAGAGTTCGCTAACATATATAAAAAAAATAGAGGTTCTAAGTTTGAGCCTTGAGGTACCTCCAAATTTACAGCATGTGCATTTCAGGAAAAAAAAAAAATGAATATAAAAAAATCTTTGTTTTCTGTTTATTTAAATTTTTGGGCATTGCATAATAATTCACAAAAGATGTACCATCGGCATTGTCAATTTTCTACAATATTTAACTGGATATTTCAAAATACGTTCTGAATCAAGCGGGACCTGAACTTCTGGCTATATCGCATTTAATTACGTGATTATTTCAAGTAAGACTGAAATCCTTCGGGCCTAGAGTAATAAAATACACAGGCGGAGAATTATGAGCAGCTTATTGCCGTAACGTTGTTATTATGCGCTTTCCGGAAATTCGAATGGAAAAGATACTTTGACAACTGAATTATAACTGGTGTATAAATGGGATTTGTCACTGCTGAAATAATATCTGCAGAGAAATCCTGCAGTCACTATTATAAGTGCATTTAGTTTCTCTAAAACCTGGTACAATTCGATTTTGAAATTAGTTTTAGTAACTTGAATGGACTGGAAATTTAATGTTGGAGTTATGGTTTGCATTAATTTACTTGGCGTTGAAGTGTTTTAATAGGGATAATGAAATAGTAGGAATGTACAATTTAAATAGTTTTGTCAATATTTTTATTCGTAATCATTAATCTAATAAGTAATAATAATATAATAATAAATGTATTAACCCCTAAAAAAAACTCTATTAAAATAGGCGACAGCTAAAGTACTTTGCTACAGTTAATAAATTCACTTTTTTGAAATTACGTTTTAGTCCCTAAAAATGTTTTTTTTAGTTTTTATTAATTTTATTGGTTAGAAAGTCAAATTTTACTCACTAAAAAGTAGTTTTTTATGGTTAAAAAGTAGGTTTTTAGTGGTTAAAAAGTATTTTTCTTGCAGTTAAAGAGTATTTTGTTACCTTGAACAGGTAGTTTTAATTGTTAAAGAATTATTTTTTATCGTTTAAAAATAGATTTTACTATTTAAAAATTAGGCTTTTAGTGGTTAAAAAATAGGTACTGATTAAAAAATTACTTTCTTTGCAATTAAAAAATATTTTTTTTTACCTTTAAAAGGTAGTTTTAATTGATAAAGAATTAATTTTTACATTTAAAGAATTTATTTTAGTGGTTATGTTGATAATCGGGTGTTAATACACTGCGACCTAAAAGATCTATTGTGTCCCCTTCTGTCGCCACTGCACTAAGGAAATGTCTCAATGCATATAGCGACCCTTCCAATCCTATTTTCTCAAGGAAGTGTAGGATTTGAAGTGGCTTCAAGTTAGGTAATTCTCCCTCTTCTATTTGATATCCTCCTAGATATAGTGCCCTTGGATTCTGGAGTGCTACACATTCAGTTAGGATGTGAATGGAGGTTTCGTCCTCCTCCTCACAGAATCTGCACTCACTATCCTCTACTACTCTCAGTTTACTTAGGTGTCCTTTTAGTCGGCAGTGCCCGGTAAGGATCCCTGTTACAATACGTAGCCTGTTCTTGCTCAGGCAGATGCAGGCTTCCGATCTTTTTTGGTTATATTCACCCAGAAGTATCTTGGCCTGTCTCAGCCCCAAGAGATTGTTCCAATTATCGGTTCTTCTACTACCCAATTCTTTTTTAATCTCTTCTAATATTGTTACTGCTGATACCGCAGAACGGCTCAGGTCCTACAAAGGGTGTTTGAGCCCCTTTCCTTGCAAGACAAAGGGTGTTTGAGCCCCTTTACTTGCAAGACTATCTGCAATCTCGTTACCCTGTACCCCGTTAATTTTAGTGGTTAAAAAGTAGTATGTAGTGAGTTAAAAGTAACCTTTTACCCTTAAAAAGTAGATTTTAATGATTATACAGTTCATTTTTACCTTTAAAAAGTATTTTGATGGTTAAAAGTAAATTTTGCTATGTAGAGCTGGTTTCTTCAGCCCTTAGGGCTTTTTTTCTATGTAAAAAATAAAGTTCAGTTAAAGTCAAAATAAAAGAATGTTTTACATGTATTAAATATTTCAAATTTCCAGATTTACCGAGGATAATTGAACTTTATGCTTGTTCATAATGAAACCCATTCCTTAAAAATAGAAAAAATTACTTTTTAGCCGTACATTAGAAACTATATATATTTATAAGATCAAAATTTACCTAATATATACCTATATAATTTACATAAATCTTTATTTAACCTGTGGTGGAAATACAGATCAGCATAGGCAAGGAAGGATTTCAAAAATAAAAGAGACGATTATTTTATAATAAATATATTAGTTATATTGCTAAACATTCCAAAAATGTATTTGAATTTTAAAAATTCAAGTAGGTTATGTAATATAAAGTATATGTTATTTGAAAATTTAAACTTATTTGTCTTTAGAGGTATAATAACGTAAGGTATTTGTATCAAGAAATTTTAAATGAGCAGTTAGTAGTTTCAACTTAATCCGGTATTTGTTTGTAAAAAATCTTAAAAGAAAGTTTATTCTAAATATATTGTTTTCTATTTATTATAATATAGAATAGAATAAGAAAATCCATGCCATTAGGATTATTAACTAAAATAGGTAGAAACATAAAAAATAACATTCTTCTATCTACCGGGTATGCCATTCCAAAGGAAGGATCCTTAATATCTAGAAAAAAAAAAATCCTATTTTATTAATACTGTCTCAGAAACGTAAATTTCGAAATTTAAAATAAATAATACAAAATTGTATTATAACTAAATATTATTTGTAGAATCTTTATTGGTTACAACAATAAACATAATATATATTTTCTGAATAAAGAACTATTTTAAATAACACAAAATGAACAAAATTTTTCTTTAATCGTGCGAAATAAAACAAGAGTTCCATCCGTAAATCCTGAAACGAAAAGAAAAAAAAATGTTGAATGCAAAAACTTCTTAAAACATATGATTTTGATTGCATGTGACTAATAACTTTTGCAATTGCAGCGATTTAACTAATTTTTAATTTACTACTTCTAATTTCTATAACTCTAATTAAGATTTTCTTACTTTATGTAATGAAAATACTTTCGATTTATAAAGATTAAAAAGCTTGGTTAATACATATAATTTAATTCGCATATCTAGGATAATTATTATTAAAATGAATATCAGAAAGCTTTGTTAAGGATTTCAATATTTGGGGATAACACAATTACACAGGTGTCTGGAAGGCTGAGAAAGTTTTCGCACGAACACGATCTGCCATATTGACGGGAAATCGTTAACAAAGTCCCCAGGAAATAGAAAAAACTTACCTCCAAATCATACCTGTTCCTAAACGTGATTTTTTCGTAAATCTGTAAATATAAATTTCATGGTTGAATAAACACAGTGAAAATTTTTCTTCATGGCTCAAATTCAGATATTTTGAACAAGACACAACATTTTTTGGCTCAAAAATGGTGAAAATAGTAGCCAGAAAAATTCTCTTTCCGAATAACACATTGAAAAATATTAATTTTGCCATTATATATGAGCAGAGCCACAAAATATATACTCATACTCGCTTTGCTTAAAAATCAGATTTAATTCAAAAATGGTAAATTTGGGCAAAAACATTGTCTCCGAATTTCACAAACTGGGATTCAGTGACAAGGTTCTTTTTTACACACAAGAAAAGGCGCTGGCTTTCCCTGCAAAAAAACAACTCATTTCCAGCCTCTGGATATAAATCCCTGAAATTTTCGAGATTTTAATATGATTCATGGATCTGTACATATAGATAGAGAGTACACACACAATCTTCCCGATTAGCATGTATTCGACCGCAACTACGCCCCCTACAACGAGGCCCGGTCGTTTCATTTAAAATACAACTCTATCAATGCCGAGGTTTTTCGTAGGTGAGAAAGCCGTGCGCGTGCGTGGGAGCGTCCTTCGCTCGCTTGAATATAAATTTGTTTACAAATATTTGTAAACAAATCAATATTGATTGAGTATACACATATAAATCCGTGTGTTTTTCAAAAGTACAAGCAGAAACTCTGTCAGTCAACATTCAATTTTCCAAGCGAAATAACGTGTCATCTCGCTCCAGTATAAATATTTTGTACATATAAATAGTGTGTACTTTGTAAAATTTTTTGTGATCATGCCGTCTCATATCAATCACCGATGTGATCACAATGAGAGTAGAAGAAAAATCTGTGCATTGTGCGGGAGGAAAATCAATCGTGGTTCTAAAAGTTTGGAATTTTTCCGTATCACAGATCATGAATTGGCGATAAAAAAGTTCCTGAATAAGAGTTTCAATTTACAGGATCCTCGTTATCCCACAGGGGTATGCGTTACTTGCCGACTCATTCTGCAGGAACACAAGAAAAATGAAAGTACGCATCCATTCAAAAGTATGCCGAATTGGGAAGATATTATTCTTCAGAAATCCACAAGAAGTAGTTCTGCACTGTGTGACTCATCGTGTAATTGTTACATTTGTTTGACAGCCAGTCACAAAGGTCGAGCAAGGACAGGGAAAAAATTGGATATCGGTGAAATACTCGATCCGTGCATAGTTATTCATCGTGGTTATGGAGTACATGCATCTCAACAATCAAAAGTAAGTCAAGCCCCAAAAAAAGGGCAAAAGAAGGATTCAAAAGAAAAGAATAAAACAAAGTTTTGAAGACTTTGTTTCCAAGAAGTGGGACGGGGCAAGGGTCATACTTGTGTCAAAAAAACATCATCTAAGGCGAAAGCGCGGGAAAATATTTTAAAACTGACTAGTACTCTACCAGTGAAACAGAAAGAGCAGATTTGTTCATCTCTTATCTCAGATGTAGAAAAAGTGTGCAGGCTGGGGATCGATAATGGATTAACGATTAGTTTGAGCACGACTGGTCGCAATAAAACTATTTGGCTCGAGAAACCGGATGAATCACCTATATTTTCGATCGAAAAATTAAATGCCTACCAAGTTGAATCCGGAGCATCAGGTAAACAAATGAAGAATTTAGCGACCTTTATTCGAAGTACAGCAGGGTGAAAATCTATACCAGCCTATTATACAAAGCAGGCTTCAGAGAGAGCTAAGCTCTTGGAAAATGTGTATTATTCTGGAATTTTTGAATTAGATTTAGAAAAAAACCCTGTCAAACAGAAAAGGCCTGTCATTTGGGGTAATGCTGAAGAAATCTTGGATACGGTAATAAGTAAACGCAATCTTATTGGGAATTACCTTTTCAAAATAATGGCTGATGGTGGTCAAGGTTTCTTCAAAGTATGTATGACCATCATTCCAGAGGATTATTTGTCCGAATCCATCGCAGATTCAAATGAAGATCATTCGTCGGCGAAAAAACACAAAGTAGACAAAGTAACAAGTGTCCATAAACTAATTATGTTGGCAACAGTACCTGCGATTAAGGAGAGTTATGAGAATGTGAAGATATTATTTTTTGATTTGATGTAAATAAACGACATTCCGTTCAAATTTGTGTCTGACCTGAAACTCTTGATAATTGTCAACGGCCAACAAACAGCTACCTCCTCGTTCCCTTGCCCTTATTGCTTCGTGAAGCTGCAAGATTTAAGGAATCGCACGGACATTAATAGAGTTGATCCTCCCACAAATGACGAGAACAACGGATATTTTCCCGATGAAGAACTTCTGGCGAAGAAAACTTACGGTGATCTGCGCAAAGATTATCAAGAATTCGTATCTTTGGGTTGCGATAAAAAAGTTGCGAACAAGTCCAGGAGTACCATAAATACACCTCTATTCGTCGAGGATGGTAATGTTCCAGTACTGCAGAAGTGCATTATCCCCGAATTGCACATTCTCCAAGGGTTTGTGAATCATTTGTTTTGGATAGTTCTCGTACCTCTTCTCGGCAAGGAAAAAGCTCTGCTCTGGCCCCAGAAATTAAAATTGGTATCAAAAAACTATCATGGAGAGGCTTTCGAAGGGAATGCCTGCAGAACTTTACTTAAGCGAGCAGATGTGCTATTGGAACCAGAAATCAGTGAACACTTGGGCGGATCTCTAGCTCTTCAACCATTCATTGCGGCTTTTAGAGCTATGGATAAAATTGTGCACTCATGCTTTGCGGTCAGGAGGGTTCAATCTGAATTGAGTCATCACATTAAAGATTTGAAGACAGCTCTTCTCGCAATAGACGTAACTGAAACTCTTAAAATTCACATTACTCTATGCCACATTGAAGAAAGTCTCGAATTCTTGAACGATGATGAAGGTTTTGGTTTATGGTCCGAGCAGGCTGGCGAATCGATACATAGAGAATTCCTAAAGTTTTGGAATAGAATATTTAATTATTTAAAATAAACAGAGCAACCGTGGAAATCAAAACTCATTGTACTTTAAGTGGGCTGTTGTCATAGGTGACATGGGATTGTTTGGAAACGTCAAATAAGTTAAGTATGTGATAATTTATTTTTTATTCGAATGTGTCAAAAAAACCTCGTTTTTCGGACAAAAAACAGTCGAAAAGTAGAACTTTTGTATATACTTCATAAAGTACTTTATCGTTGGTGGCCTATAAAGTTAAGTGTATATAGTGTTGCATACCGATTAGAATTCTCAAATCTGGACAGGAATTCTTATGTGCGTACTCAACACATAACGAATTTAATAGAGAGAGACATTACATACGAATCGCATTCTGTGGAACGAAGATAGTCGTCTCAATACGTGCCGAATTGAAAGATGACAATCCCAATACTGAGGTAGGTTCTTTCATATACCATTTAGGTTTTTCTGGAATCAAATTCAAAGACGCCAAATTTTCCGTGAATCTAATTTCTGGGGGCGTTCCCGTAATTAATTCTTCGTCATTACTCATTATTGAAATTTTTTTTGACACCAATTTTTAATAAACTATGTAATTAAATTAATTTGACATGAGCACAGTGACACGACAGAAATTGTTTAATTGTTCTCATAGCCAACTCAGTTAAGAAAAAATTATTGGAAATATCATTTCAGATTTAGTTTTCTATATATTTTTTAATCTCTAAGCACATTCGAATAAAAAACAATGTATAAAACACGGACGAAAAGTGTTTTTTCGGACTCCTACAAGTTACAAGACTCGACTACGTCTCGCCTGGCATGCTTCTCATAGTGGCCCGATAAATTTTTTGTCCTTGTGACATAAACTACTATTAACAATATACCTACTTTGTTAGTGCGTTAAAAGTATAGCAACTATTTGATTAGGTGTAAAGGAAAAGAGCTTATGATAAAGATAAGTTTAAAACGAAATTTTTTCGGTAAATTTAGCTTAATAGTTCTTTATTTGAAGAAATAAAGATGCCAAAAGGAAAACAAATTTCCAAGGAAGTTGTTACAGGATAAAATTAATTGTAGGACATTTATTCAAAAATAATTTAACATAAACTGCGTACCTAAAACCTAAAATAAATGCTACTTACAATAAATCTAGTGAATTATTTCATATTTTATAATTTTTTAAGTTCCATTAAAATTTCCTTACTATTTCAAACTTCAGAATCCATGTAGATTTCTAACTTGAGAACCCATGTGAAATTTATCTAGAAGGGAAGAGGAAATAAGTATCCTAAAAATAAACAATTTTTACTATTTATTACATTTTAAAACAGCTGCAAATCATCTAGAAAGGTAACCAAATTATTAAATTAGTTTTGTTTACATTTTCATAATATTCAAATGTCATAAGTCAATAAAGTCGATTTTAATGAATGATTATACTTTGTTTTTAAACTAGGAGAAGCGAATTTAAACGACCCATTTACACAGGGAAAAGTAACTAGATTTGTTACTAAGAGCGTGTTCCGAAATATAGTAGGGTTCAAAATTTATGAAATAGTTTTTATTATCGGCCCTAGTCGGCGAACGGCCAATGAGGAATTAAGAGCGAATAAATCTCATAGGAGGCGATTTTTTATTGGTCCCAAACAACAGTAGTAAATGTCACATCACTGTGATCTGAAACGTGTATCTAAAACGAACTGTCAAATGAAATTCAATATGACCCTTGATTTCTTTTTGAGAATAACAATGATCTTTTTAAAATGGAAATTGAATATTTAAGAAAATTTTTAACGGAATATCCTGATGCAGGTTAGTATAAAATATAAAAATATGGTCTGTTTACATTTTCAAGGATATATTTGTTGTAGGTATAAACTGAAGTAAAAGTTAATTATTGGCTTGGACCCCTTCACCATATTATACTCTTTACTCTCAGTAAATGCCAACACAGTGACTGGAATTTCTCCTATGAGTAATATAGCTATTGTAGCTTATTTAGTGTTAACCCAGAGTTGATACGCTAAAGAGTAAATAAAGGCATTTAAAAGCTTATAGGCTATTGTGAGTCAGGATTTATTTTAAAAACTGGAACCATCATTTTCATAACATTACATGTCAATATTATATCAAAAACTGTTTAATAATATTGTAGTTCCTTTGAACTCTAGTTGTAATTTTTATATTTTTTAATTTAAAGTTATACTTACCCTATGTATTAATTTTAATTAGATATTTTTGTTGTTTGATTATTTGTTGTAGAAATATTGTTAGCTCATTATGCTAAATTAAGATTCTCTAATGTAGTAGTAGATGGTGTTTTAAATGCTAAATCTCAGTTTTGTAAATAAAGTTTACTTGAATGTTTAGTTACATTTTAATCATTTTGGTAAGAAATTTATTAATTTTTAGTTTTAAAAAATCAGTAATAAAATTGTTAGTTTTTTTCTTTCTAAAATACTTCGGAATCCATCTCTTCATGGTAATCTTTGCCTTCAAAAATCAATAATGCATCTACAAAACCTTCTTAGAAACCAGCATATAAAATAATAAGGCGTCTTCCCTTTCTTGTAGGGCTTTTCAGGAACTGCTACCGGTATAGAAGGACCCATAATCGTAGAAATTCAGAACAATTGCTTACTGAAGTTCTGAACAGGACTGTTATTAACGAAAAAAATGTAAAAAACTAAGTAATAATGATGAGATATCAAAGGGCTAAAAGCAATAACAAAACTAAAAATTTGAAATGTTAGAACTGTCAATAATTGTCAGTAATTGCATTATACTCTGTTTTTAAACTAAGAGGAGCGATTTGAATTTAAGTTGGCAATTCTGTAGCTTTCTGATTGGTCAGATTACAGTCAGTTTCACACATTACTTTTTAGCATGAACATCAGCTAATAATTGATATTGTTGACAGTTCTGACATTTTATAATTTGATATCTCATCCATTACTTAGTTTTTAACTTTATTTCGTAAATAATAGTTCTCTAGTAAGCAATTGTATTGAAAATCTACAATTATGGATCCTTCTACACTGAGTACTATTAAAGGTAGCAATTCCTGAAAGGCCTTACGAGAAAGGGAAGATATCTTATTATTTTACATGCTGATTCTGAAGGTTTTGTAGAAAATGCATTATTGGTTTTTGAAAGTAAAAAGATGGGAGATTACCATGAAGAGATGAATTCCGAAGTATTTTAGAAAAAAATAATTTTTTTACTGATTTTTTAAAACTAAAAATTGATGAATTTCTAACCAAAATGATTAAAATGTAACTAAATATTCAAGCAAATTTTATTTATTAGAATAGAATAAAACTATTTACAAAATTGTTATAACATTTAAAACACCATCTACTACTTTAGGGATAATCTTAATTTGGCACAATGAGTCAACATTACTTTCACAAAAAATATTTTAAAAATACTTAAAATTAATACATAGGTATGTATGAATAGTTCACTTTAAAAAATATATGTTGACATGTAGTGTAATGAAAATGTTGGTTCCAGTTTTCAAAACAAATTCTGATTCATAGGCCTGTAAACTTTTGAATGCCTTTATTTGCCCTCTAGCGCATTAACCATGGGTTAACACTAAATAAGCCATAATATTCACATTACTCATAGAAGAGATACCAATTACTGTGTGATCCACTTGTCATTCACTGATTAACTTTTACTTTTTATACCTATAACAAATATATCTTTAAAAATGTAAACAGATCTTTATATTTTATACTAACCTGGCTACATCTGGATATTCCATTAAATATTTAATATCCATTTTAAAAAGATCATAGTTATTCTCAAAAAGTCGATTTCAAAAGCAAGAAAAAAGTATTTCTGACATCAATCAACAACCATATTGACAGTGACATTTCGTTTTAGACACACATTTCAGATCACAATGTGAAATTTGCGACCGTTGTCTGGGACCAATTAAAAAATTACATCTATGACATTTATTCGTTTCTTAACCGCTCATTGGCCGTTCACCGACTAAAACCGATAAAGATAATTATTTCATAAATTTTGAACACGACTATATCTCAAAACTCGCTCTTAGTAGCAAATCTAGTTACTTTTCCCTGTGTAAATGCGTCTTTTCAATTCGCTCCTCCTAGTTTAAAAACAGAGTATAGTTGCGATGTTAATGCTAAAAAGTGATGTGTGAAACTGACTGCAATTTGACCAATCAGAAGTCTACAGAATTGCCAACTTAAATTCAAATCGCTCCTCCTAGTTAAAAAACAGAATATAGTAATATGAATTAAGTAATCACCCATTCATCCACCAGTTCTAAAAAACATACTCAATTTATTTTATTGGTTATTAAAAAAACATAAATATAATGTATAAAAATAATACAAGGTATTATTCTTCCTTCTAACCATAATTAATTAATCATTTGTAAAGATATTTGTAACATTTAAAATAATGTAACTTAACCTCACAATTTCCAACGTGCCAAAGCCAGGAAATAAAAAATAAGAAATCAATTTAAATTAAACCACGTAAGATAACCGATTAGTTTAATTTTAATCATCCCTTTAAGTACCCAACCCCTGAGATATTTAACATCGCCTTATTATAGATCAAATACACATAAAATTAATTTTTATCATATTTTAAATTCTAACCCCTTTAGGTACATGTGTATCAAATTGGTGCCCAACATGGGCTAATGTTCGGTCCTAAACGCCATTTTGGAAGGGAAGTTTACTTTCCAAACAGCTTAACTTGCCCAAATATAGTACGTCAAAAATAATGTCACGTTATAAAAAAAAAATGCCGAAATCAGGGAGGTCCAGGAAAACTACATTTTGGATGGATAGGAGAATCAAAAGGATTTCTCAAAGAGATCCGTGGTTGTCAAGACCAAGGATAATTGCTGAAATGTCTAAACGGGAAGTTAATGTGAGGATTGTTTAACGAAGATTAGTTAAGGCGAAACTTTATAGCAGACGTTTTGCTAAGAAACCATTGGTTTTCGAAAGAAATCGCTGGGCCAGGCTTGAATTTGCAAACCATTTATAAATAAAGT